TGATAAATATTGTAGCCATTCAGGGGAGTCAGAGATATTTTGGGTGGATACTTGACATTCTTAGGGACTGAGTGGATGTGGTAGGCCAGACAGATGGCTTTCAACATGGTGACTTTGGTAATGGAGGTTGCCATGAGCAGGAATAAGGCAGTGGGTAAGAGATCACCATGCTATTTTGATGGGAAAATGCACTAACACTCTAGACACTCATTCTGAGATTCATAAAACATGCTTCACCTCTGTAAAGCGACACACAATATGATCATGAAATTTAATGTTCGCTTACATATATTTTTTAAACTTCTGCATAGTATTAAAACGTGGACTACACAGATGTCAGCTGTTTTCTGAATGTTAACACACAGTTTAGTATCTTGGTTCAAATTCAATGCAGTTTCTTCTGCCCTCAACAAATTCCATGGAAATTCCCATAGTGTTAATGAAAGAAAGTGGATCCATTATTCATTAAGTTGTTATTACATGAAGGTCACCAATAGCTCCTGGTAAGTAGGGGTAGACACAGAAAATGTTAAAGATGAAGGTAAAGATTGTGAACACCTTCTTTCCAAAGTGGCCAGAATCACTTTTTTGTCACTTTTTTCAATATTTATGAAATGTAGATGCTACATAAACAAGGTTTTAAAAAATTAAATATTGAATGTTTAGCAGGTTAAATTTACACAGTGAAGCATAACATTAACAAAGATTGTGGTCGACAGTAGACTGTAGTGTTTAGAATCCAATGTTTTATACAAAGAGCCCTAAAATAGTGATAGCTTATGTCATGGCTTCAAAAGAGCTATAAAGTGCTGCAGAAATCTGGAACACAGAGGTAGCTTTTATGGCTGTGATTGAGGAAATGTTCACATACTTGATGGTAAATGAGCTGGATCTTGAATTTCAGTTAGATTTGCAGCAGGCAGCAACTCACGGGAAAAAGTTCCATACAATAAAATGCAGAAAGCTGCACCACTCCAGGGCTTCTGTATGGTCAAATTAGAAAATTGGCTTTGCTATAAACTTACAACTATTAAGAAATATGTATCCCAGAAGTCAACCAGGAAACACATAAAGAATAGAAATGTTCCCAACTACAGAGCTGCAAAAATTAAGATATATGTCACAGAGTAGTATGCATAATAAAATTAAGGCTTGTTACATTTTATACCATGTTAGAAGAATGCAATTGCTCTGGAAGGAAACTTATTTGCCCATTGATTTATAATTATGTGTTTAATTCCATCATTGATATATTTTTATTGGTAATATTAGTACTATAGTTTAAAGTATCTCACTTTCTTGTATGCCAAGTAGTTAACGACTTGCAAATGGACTCTTTAATATGCTAGATGCTCATTATTCTAAGGTAATTATTTAGCAAAGTAATGATCCTTCGGTTATGTAAATTACTGACATTAAATTATAAGTTTTTAAGTATCTGGTTTTATGTTTCATTCTGGGCCTTCAAAACAACCTTCCAGTCCAATTACTGCTTAATCCAAAGTTAAGATGAAATTGTTTACTTCAAGTGAGACAAAGAGATACCATTCTGATACCTAGGGATTCTTGTGCTTGATGTGCAGATGATAGAGCTCTTGGAGCTCAGGGTGATGGCTTATTATATTTTACTCCAGTGGGTAGTTAGATTTATGAATATATTCAGGGCCAATTAGAAGACATATCATAAAGATTTTCGGCTTTCATGCCACTTAAAGACCATTTTGAAGTTTTCATGTGTACGTGTGCAAACACCAAGTACTGGATGTAATCTGTGCCTGGAGGTGTGGATAAAGGGGTGGGCAGGGAAAAAGAAGCAGGCAAACTGACACACCTTTTCCATACTGTGTGTTGAGTGAGATCAGTAAGTATGGTCTGGGAAGATTCACAAGGACCATCTGGTCTAGACTGGGTTTTGGAAGAAGTGAAAATAGATTGATGCCCAAGAGAGGGAGATGTTGGAGATGAGGAGTAGAACAGGAGAAAAACACATGTGGGAGGACAAGAAAAACAATGTCAGCATCGCCAGTACATCATGTGATTCCAACACGGAATGGAAGGAAGGTGGTAGAAAATAAGGATGGAGAAGGAAGAGAGGAAATCAGCAATGAGATCATGAAGGATAACGTGTAACAAAATTTTACTGAGTTGAGAAGTTGGGAGGTGACGAAGGCTTTTAAATAAGGGAGTTACAAAAATCAGATTTATGTTTTAGATCCCTTTAGCTTGGAAATCATGGAAGGGTAGTCAGGAAGGAGATAGCCTCTCTCTGAGAAATCCTTTCTGAATACAGTAGGCTGCATGTTTTCAAAATCCCACTTTCATGGTATCACTCATCTGAGGACTGACAGTGATTTTTCAGTTGCCAATTGCATTAGGTGCAACTCCTTTCTTTCTAAGGTCTCTTGAACAAAACCACAGCCAACAGTCTCTCAAATCTCCCTCATGGAACCTGTCATGGCAATCAACTCTCTCTTCACTGACTCTTCCTAGTCTGCTGCTTTGCCAACCTGGGGTCTCAGCAATAATAAACTTGGTTGACTAGAACGCTCCAGAGGTGAGACTCAGAAACTCTGTTACTACGTTTGGGAAATAGTGACCTCTCTGATAAGAACACTTACTAACATATTTTAGTTATTTTGAGAGGAAAATTAGATAATCTATGTAAAACTGTTTTCTACAGTGTTGCATAAAATAAATCCTGTGCATAAAAAAACATGAGTTCAAGAATACATGAGTTTTTAAGATGACTTGAAAGTAAGAGTGGAAAAAGGGATCAGGAGGCAGAGAGTAGAAATGATCAAGGCTGTATATATGCATGTATGGAAATGCCACAGCAAAACCTATTAATTTGCACAATGTTAATAATTTATAATAAAAAATGTGTTTCATGGGCCAGGGATTTAGCTCAGTGGTTTCGCCGCCTGCTGCCCAAGTGCAAGGACCCAAGTTCGATCCCCGGTACCAAAAAAAAAAAATGTGTTTTAAACTATATGTTTGATAGCTCTGAAAATATCAGTCTTCTCATATACAAATTACAAGTCATTGCCACTTGAAGTAGTTATAGAGGGACTCGGCAGTTGGACACAAAATTAGAGGCAAATTACTCAACAGATTCTCAGTGATTCCAAACCTTGTCCTTACAATAAAGCAGCCTGTGGACTGGGGGTTGTGGCTCAGTGGTACAGTGCTTGCTTAGAAAGTGCAAGGCCCTGGGTTTGATCCCTAGCACCACACATTTAAAAATAGGATTATCATAAGGAATTTATGATGAATATTATGTATATCTAAAATGTACCAATAAATAGTCTTCAAAACAGTGCCCCCGTTTTGAACAAATTCACATTTCTTTTTTAAAGCAACATGTGCAACTTTTTTTTTTTGGTACTGGGGATGGAACTCAGGTCCTTGCGCTTGGGCAGCAGGCGGCGAAACCACTGAGCTAAATTCCCGGCCCAACGTGCACCTTTTTAAAAACAGAAAAACACATGTGCTTTTATTAATCTGGCCAATGGTTATTAAAGTAGGGAAGGGGATTGAGAAGCAAATTAATATGGAAGTTAGAGCTTCTCTAAGAAAAGTAGTTAAAGGGGAGGGGTGGAGGGGTTGAAGGAAGGGCAGGGAAATGGGGAAAAAATAAGAATCAAGATATATTATGTAAAGGTACTGATCTCCAATGATGAATGTCATTATATTGTATACTTAAAATGTACCAATAAAATTAATTTTTAAAAAAGTAGTTAAGGGTCAGAAGAAATGAGAACTCCAGAAGCCAGTGATATTGAGCCACGACATCAAAAACACATCAAAAATGCAAAAAGTCAACAAAAAATTGTCTTCAAATATATGTATTACCAACAACAAAGGTGCTTTGATTTCAACTATTCTAAAATAACTGTTAAAAGACTAGAATGCATCAAGGCAGTCAGTACAATGGCTAGCAGGCATTAGGTTTTTTTAATGAGAATTGTGAAGTGTGTGGTAAACAAGTAAGTGTAAATTAATAACATACTACACATTAACATTAACTTAAAAATTCAAAACAACATTGGGAGTGCAGATTTCATTTCAATGCATACTAAAATACCCAAAGAGAGCTTGTTCAATCAAGCTCATTGCAAGTCTATTTTCTTTGACCTGAGAATTTTCCTTTCACTGTTGTTTTAAGAGTCCTGAGTGAGAGCTCCCACTGAGGGTACTGCTGACATCATGGATCCTCCAAAGCATTTTCCCAATTGCTTCAATCTGGATGATTTGTTTCTTCCTCAGCACGGCTTGCATTTGTCTTTTCTGTTCACCACCGCTGGCCTTGTGCTATTCTTGAATTATTTCCAAATTTGTTTAATTTCAGATTGAAGGCTCCTAGAGGAAAATACAAAACCTAACACTGTTGAGTTGTATGACTATCAAGATGTATTCTAGGTTTTTAACAAGTATTTCTAGGGTAATTGAAATCAACTCAAGCAGAAGTTTCTATTTAAATTTTCTCAGCTACAAATGTATAATGAGTAAAAATTATTTATTATGAGAATACAAAGTTTGTACTTCATAGTTACTATTAATGTGTTTGGAGAACCATATTTATTTATGGACTAATATCTTATTCAACTAATGAGATGTATTTGTAAAAAACAAAAAAGTGGCGCTTTACAAATCATTTCCCAATTATTAATCAGGTCAGTAGTATTTAGAAAATTTAATACAGTTCACCTGAATGCTACCAATAGAAACACTTAAAAACCCCATTTCAATCCTGTATTTCTTGATGGAATTAAAATTAAAATGGCACTCTCACAACCAGTTAAAGCTACTGCAACTAGATGGGGAATACTGGTAAGAGGCCCCCCTCCCCCATTTAAAAAGTATTTTTACAGTAAAAAAGGGCAACATCATCTTCAGAGTTTGTTGAGACTTTCCAATATGTAGTTCCCCAAAACTAGACTCGTCAAAAGGAATATCTAAGGCCTACCCAGGTCTTCAAAATAGTGCCCACATATACCATATTTGTTGAACAAATTCAGATTTATTGAAAGTAAACATTTACATTGGCTACAATGTTAGAACTATTACAAAGCTGGATAAAAGAGGCTTAAGTAGCAATAAAAAGCAAGTGCAATAAAAAGTGAATAGAGAAAATATTTGGCCTTAGTGATCTCTTGGCAGTATTTACATTATGTACATATTGTTAAATATTTATAATAACTCTAAGGCACCAAAGGCTAAATAGCAGGTTGCAATACTATTTTGTGCACAAGTCAAGAAATGTATTGTAAAGAAGTTTGTGTAGTTAAGGAAACATAGGCATATCTTAATGTTTACATAAAGGAGTGGCTGCAAGTTTTAAATCTCAAATGATACATTAAATATTTGGCAAATTGAAGAAATTATTTTTAGAACATTAAATTATGTAGACTATGTAAATAAGCACTATTTTTTACCAACTTGCTGGTAAATGTGTAATGTAATCTATTCAACACAGCTTTTTCACACTCATGGGTATGTTTTGTCTAAAAACTACTTGAAATACTTTTAACCTACAAAACTGTATCCTGTATTTCACAGTGTGTACAAAATCCCTAAGAAAAATTTACTGGGTAATAATATACATCAAATCTATATATAATCTGGCAAAAAATTTAGCAGGCATTAAATGCCAAAATACTTGAATGTTCAGTCTGCCTTTCTGGTATAGCAGTTAGGATTTTTAATCCTTTAACTCTTTAGAGTGGGCAACTATTTGTGGGTGTAGGTGAATGGACGTAAAATTGGCACATATAGAAAACCAATCTTAAAAAAACCTAATTTCCAATTTTGCAACTTGAAATCCTTTCAAATAACTCGCTGAGGGGGCCAATGATGTCATTCACTACACGTGGCTGAAATATCCATGTTATAGTAGAATTAAGAAGTAACTGATATCTATGTCCAGCATGGTCTTAACTGGTGAATTATTTGATGACTACTATTTGTAAAATTTTACTTTTTTCTTACACTAGAAATCCAGTTTACCTTAACAAGCAGTCTATTCTTTGTCTTGAGGTAGTGTTGTAATGAAAAATTCTGCAGGACAATAGAACATCATAAAGTTTTAAAAATGTGCTTCAAATGCCACCCACAAATTTATATTTACTGAGATGGTAGGAGGCCAACATTTCATGCCTGTTTATAACAAATCTCTATCTGGTGAAAGTTGTCCCAACTCTTATAAGGGAGGTGAATTTTTCATGAAAACTTCTTAAACTTCATGCTCTAAGTTATGGTTTTCAAAATATTTTTATTATATAAAGTACTGTGAAAATTTGTTCAGTGATATTAATTCAAAGATTTATAGACTTGCATGTTAAAGATTTTCTCTGTTAGCAAAGGAGAGAAAAATTCACAAATTTCTTCTTTTAACTCTTCAATGAGGAATACTTACAGAATTAACAATTGTTAGGATTACTTTGTTATACTACATGGTATTTGACAAGAACTTTAAGGATGTGGTACTCTTAAAATTATAGTTGAAAAATGACCTTCAAGTCTAATATTTGACTGAGATTTACTGAGCAATAAATATAAAATTTATTTCACTGTAATGTATTCTATGGCACCAAAAATGCCTTTCTATAAATGCATTCTATAGTACTGGGTTATTTGCATGTTACTTTTCTTCCTATCTTAAATGTTCAATCATTTTCCTGTCTTTTATGGAATGAAAGAGGACAAATTATTCCTAGCATAATGTTTACAAAACCAGTAATGCAGGAAAAAGGAGAAGTAATAAATTATGAACCTTCTTCCCCTATTTCAAAAATGAAAATATGTGATTGCCTTTGCTTGCTGGGTTTTTATCTAAGAAAAATGGCTACACAATTAATACAGCTATTAAAAAACATCAATGTACAGATTTCCAATGATTATTAAAATACAATACAATGTGTCAAATGTTTGGAGTCATCAAATAAATCAAGGCATAATATCTAAATGGGGCGACTGAATCAAGGCATGTTAAGTGTTTAAAATATCTAAATATCTGCTTGGACTTTAAAAGCATGATATTCATTTACTAATGGTATTAAATGGAGTTTATCTTTAGACAAATAGATAAGCATCTTCATCAATCTACCATGGTGTTCCCAATTTCAGAAAGTTCAATTAAAAGATCAGCTCTCCTTAAAATAATTGCTTATAGAGGTTCTGATAAAATCTTGGAAATGAAACCTATCATCCTGTACTGTTCTACAACTCAATTAGCGATCATTATAAGACATCTTATTTGACTAACAGGCATCAGAAAAGATGTATACTGTGCAGTTACATTTAATGGGCACTGAACTAACAACTTTCCTTCTTCAGACGGGTGACTCTACTTTTATTTTTAAGTTGGCAATAAAAGTTTTTAATATGTCAGTTTTCTTTCTTCTAAATAATTTCCCTGGAGTATTACAAATTACCTTCCAGTTTAGATTCTAATACTGTATCTTTTACAGATCACCCAAATGTTAAGTAATCCTGGATGGATTAGTCTGGTGGTTTTTAAATTGTGCTGGGAGGCACTCGGAGCTTCCAGAGGGCTGGGCCTAGGGGCCTAACAAATCGGTGAGGTTCTAATCCATCACTCCCAAATCCCATATGACAGCATCATGTCAAAGTCCTGTATCAAATGTCCCACAGAATTAACTTGAAAAACTGATTTAGTTGCCTAAAAATGTTTCCAAACAGGTACAATGAGTTGGGAGACTAGGGGAGTCCTCATCCAGCCATCATCCAGCCCTTCTATATTAACATTATCCCTCAGATTGGCTCTGGGTTCAGAGGCACCAATCAAAACAGATCAATGTTTTAAGTACATACTATCAAAATAATCATATCTGAGCCTCCTTCAGATATTTTTCAGAATAAGTGGTCCTTTCAATTATTTACAGTGTAAGAAAAACAAATGACTATTAAACACTTCCTAAACTACAACCCTTGACAATGTCTATGACCTTTTCCTCACCTTTCATGCCAGACAAAGGAAATAAACACAGAAGTTATCACATTACACTTGCAAATGGTTACACATTTGTATTTTTTTCTTCCTATATAAATTAAAATCAGATATGAGCCTTGATTCAGGGTTTGAATAGAGTGGCACACTCACTAATTAAACTGCTTTCATGAGTGGCCTGATTCCAGAGGCATCATGTAGGAAAATAAACACTGTCAGTTAAAAGTTGAGTAACTCTAGGACTCAAAGAAATAGATTTTGATGAGTACATAATTCTTCAAAAGGAAATGTTGAGAGCTGGTGTTACTGTTCTCTATAAACTTATTTGTATTCTTTTAATATAAAAGAAACTTCAAGGTTTGTCTTCTTTCTCAATATGAAAAAAATAAGCAGAGGTATTAAATGAACAAATATAAAATGCTGGTGTGGTATAAATAAATTTTTAAATATTCCATTGTAGAAAATAAAAGCATACACTATTTCTTTCATTTCTGAGGCCTTTCTTTTAAACATAAGATCACTTGAATATGGATTTAGTCCACCGGGGGATCTATAGTCCCCAAATTATGACTTACAGGTAACACTTTAAATATGTTAAATTGTAACCAATGAGACATTTCTTTAAACAAATAGAAAAATTGTCCGCAAACAGTTCTTGTGAATGAATGGTGGTAAATTTAGCCCATATCCTGGTTTATGTTGATTTGCTTCTTACTGAATATTATCTTCTTTTCATTGAGTGAGGATAGAATGGTGAAAATTCAACATCTCTCTTGTCAAAATATGTATGTATGAATATACACACAAATCTACACAGCCATACATCTTGATGCATGAAACCACTTGTATGTATATTACATACTAATTCTGGCAAAGCATTGCTTCTAGGACTTAATTCTTTTTATAACCAAATATAGGAGAATATTCCTCCAAAAACATTTGAATAGCCATACCACTAATTATATCGCACATCAGAATGTGCAAACAGTGTACTTATTGCAAAGTATCTGATAGATTTAGATGCCATTATAAAATGTTATCAATTCTATTTTTATAACCTAAAATGTCGGTATATAATACCAAATATCCAATTAAAGAATTTAATATAAAAATATCAGCACAAAACTGTTTTTTCAATCTGTTTATTGTGTATGCAACCCAAACTTCAGTTTAAGTGCTGTTTTAATTTTATTACTAGATTCCATAACCCTACAACTGATAAATTTTATACCACTTTAGGTATTTAATGAGATACTTAGAAATGCGAAGAAAAAAATTCGTATTCAAAGCGTTGAATTTGTTTATAATAACAATAAATTATTTTGTCATCTTCTTCAGTTCAAAATCCAGCTTTGAACCCGAGGAAGGCTTTCAAATCACGTTAATTAATGGTGGTCTTTTAACCAGTAGCAGTTTGGTTACCAATTACTCGGAGGATCTCTTTGTGAATGCCACCTTCTTGTGTATTAATATTTGCATCTCCCACTTGGCCATCTTCATAGCTAAAACAGAAAACACAGAAACAAAAAAATGTTTTTTAAAATGTCAGGGTGGAAAATGGATTCAAAATGCTATCCCGATACCTAGAGTACAGCCCAAGGATACAGTGATTTTTCAGTTGTAATTATCAGTGTGTTCTCTTCTGAGCCTACTGCTCACTGGAAAGGACTAGCAAAGGCTGTCATGGTCCCCCAGCTGCCTGTGCTATGCCATGCTTTCATTTACCCCCTACCATTTTAAAGTTAACTTGTTCATCTTCACTGGAAGTACTGCCAGGGTTGCAAGGAGCACCCTGGTGTTTTTGGAATTGCAAGCAACTGTTATGAAGCCAACTGCAAAAGAATATACCACCTTCACTTTATGTTCCTTGAGCTTTGAGCTTCTTCACTCCACCCCACTCCCTGTCAACCATTCTTTCCCTTCTTCTCCACATACTGACACTCACTTCACTCTCTAGCCCTGTTTCTTTGCCATCCCCACATCCTAATTATTGTTCAGCTGTAACTACTCAGCGCTGAATGTCTTCCTTATCAGTTGGTTGTTCATTCTATTTAGTCTGACTATAACATATTCTTATTTCTGCTGGTGCTTCACATAAGAATGCAAGCCTGCTAAGTTTAGCTTAGTATTAAAAGTGAAGATACGATATTCAAAGACAGCAATTCTAAGTTCTTTACAAAGAAATAATTACATTTTAGATAATTCATTTCCTCAATTAACTTACTTGGGCAATAAGAATTTCCAAAGAATGAATTTTCAAACTTCCACGATAATATTCAGAGTGAAATAGGTGATGAATTAATTTTACTGCATAAAAAAATGGATTTGAGACAGAAGCTTTACAGAAGTGGTAATTACTTCAAAATAGATAACCACAGGCATAAGCACCATGTCTCAAAGATTAATGCATGCCACTGTCTTTTCCTCCCATACTTAAATTTTCCAGAAATAGCAAAATAAAGGAAAATGAAACAAATGACATAGAGCAATGAGAATTTAGCTCCTTACATAATCCATTTGCTTCAAGAGCAAGTGATGATTCCATTTGTACAAGACTAAACTCCACACATTAAATGATCCAAGATTGTTGGTCAACTTGGATTAATTCTTCAAAGTTTGCTATTTCAGATATACTCAGTGCATCTCTGTCTCTGTCTTTGTCTGAATAAATATATATTCACACAAAGACATGTATATTAATCACTCCACGGTGCAATATTACTATAAGATAAAGACTGGACTATGTGGTAACAGCCTACCTATGAATATTTTCTCAAGAAATCAAACAGTGAGTGCTCTACTAAGAACCAGAGACATGTTAAATAAAACAATGTGAAGTTGTTTAAATTGAATCAGGTGTTTGTGGCAGATTGTGTAAAAGTATATGTTATTGTGCAAGTAAATCATGTCAAGCTATAGTGTTCGTATAAATCCTGCCTAGTGACCACTGACCAAGGGTAAAAACTAAGCCATTGGCATTTCTCAGCAGGAGGAGGAGACACAATCTGACTCGAAGGTGCAGCCCTAAATTAATAGTGATGTTTACCATGACAGTCAGACTAGCTCCAGCTAAGATATGGACTATGGAAAACAAAAGAGAATAACAAGAAGAGAATGGAAAAGACACGGGTACTTCCTGGAGAGAGAGGTGAGAGTGGTGGCTCCTGGAACTGTTTTGGTTCTTTTTGGCTTTCCAATTTCAGACAACAGCCCACATGTAAGTTTACGTTTCCCAATTTAGGTTTCTTCTGTCTTTATTACATTGTTGCTACAATGAATATACCTACTATATCCTATGTAGTTGGAACACAAGGCTGAGGAAGACATGCTCAGTTTACCTGATACCAACTCTACATGCTACCACCTTCATTCTCTGCAATTTGAAGTTGACCTTTCAATGAGATTTGTCTTTATAACTTCCCATTTTTGCCTTTACCCACTGCGGTTTTTCGTCTGTGCCTACTGCTCACTGAAGTACTGGCAAAGGTTGCCATGGCTGCCTCGCTGTTGGGTTCAGGAGGTTAACTGCTCCCTCTGCGGCATGGAACGCACTGCTCTGCTGTTCTTCCTGAAGCTGTTACTGCACCCCCTAAAGAGCCTGAGATTAATTCTCAATCTCTCTGCATCCTCTTCCTCAGGCTCCCATTTCAGTGATGGTTTTCTACATGATTAACTCCTCAGTTTCCTCTCTCATTATATACAAACTTCCTCGACTCTCTTACCCTTCCCGTTTAACTATCACTCCCAGGCTGATTCCTAAAACTGTATCTCCACTTCTTACATCTTTACCTAATGTAACTATCCACAGACATCACAGATGCAGCACATGTGAAATCCAACTTTGACCCTAGGACTGCTTTTTTTCCCTCTATCCACATCTGCACTTGAGGAACTACTGTGCAACGCCAGCACCTCAGTAGCCCTGGTTCTTCCTCGTGCCTACATTCAATTATCACCACGTTATCTTGCTTCCATTTTGTTATTTCCAGCTACATCTTTTCTCCACGTGATGCCATTATCTTTGTTTGGGGCTTATCATTCATTTACATCTGAGTATTTTAAGTTGCAAGTTGCACATAACTAATGGGTTGTTAAATTAATTTGTCTAAACTAGCATTTTAAGTGAGATTAGAAGAGGAAGTACTAAAAAAAAGTTAAAAAATTAAAAAAATTTTAAAAAAGAACAGGAAGAACTGACTTCAGTACACATAGAAACCGTTATTTTTCCCCCTAAGTCACAATGTCAAACACATTTCTTTTTGTGGTAGAAAAAGTGACCTAGACTATTGAAATAACATTGCACTGTATCTGATCTTTCTGTCTGGTACAGTAAGCCCTCCCATTGTCACTTCTAGAAGACCTATTCTCCACCCATAAACTCATATAAAATGACCTCTGCCTCACTCACAGAACACAGGGTCACTGGCACTGCCACCCTTTCATAATCCCAAACCAAGCCTCCTCTCCAGTCATGTTCCACTGCTCCCCCGTCACTCTTCACGGTCTAAGAAATGGAAAGATTTGTTCTTCCCAAGTAGTACATGTTCACTGACATTCATAAGCACTAGAAATTAATGGAGAAGAGACTTGTGTCTTTTGAATAAGTTACAATAATTTAAGACAAAAAACACAGGGGCAGGGAGAGAGGGAAAGAGGGGGAAAAGAGAGAGAGACAGACAGACAGACAGAGAGACAGAGACAGAGAGACAGAGAAAGAATCAAAACTCAGAGCACAAGCAAGAGCAAGAACCCAGGAGGACAGAGACAGTTTGAACTATCAAAGAAAATTAAAATTTTTATGTTTCCTATGAAACCCACAAGGAAACACAAGACTTGTAGACTAAAGGAATAAACTGGCCAAAGGAATTTTGGTATCTTAAGCTATGAGTTATGCATAATATTAAAGGAAAACAAACCACCATGTGATTTAGACATGTCACAAAGCTTAGGTGTATGAGCTGCTAATGGGAATTGAGAAACTTTCACAACAGAGCACAGAGTACTTCACAAATAGTATAAACACTAGGTTGTTAATGGAAGAATAACGTTCATTTCTTTCCAGAAAGCAACAATAAAATACAAGAAACATGTGATCAATACTGAGATGATATGCTTGGCTGGGGATTTTTGGTAGAAGGAAAATAAAAAAAATCTAAAAGGAGGCAAAAATAAAAGTAAAAGACAATAAAAGGAGGTTAAAAAGTACTTATATTCCCAGGGGGATAGAAAAATTACTAAAATTTTAATGAAAAAGAAAAATTTGCTTTAAACACATTCAAAAGAAAAATGAGATGGCAGATGGAGTTTAGCTGTCTAGAAATCTCTTAGGTATGTCAGGAAGCTTCATAGTAAGAATTTTGAAGGTATCAACAACATTTATTCTCAAACTGACACAGCATCTTTTGTGACAGTTGTAAGAGTGAAACATGTGAATCCATCCCTGTCTCTGTCAATCGGCAACCAAGAAACTCTGGCACCATACTGCCTCCGCAACAGAGAAGAACTGAACTGAATGATATCCCTAATGATCCAAAGTTTCTATGAGAAAACTGATGCTACAAGTACACCGTCTACTTCATACTCCATGTATGACCGCTTCATTCAGTTAGACAATCTGTTCTTTCGCCATTGCTTCAATTCAATACATGCTGAGCTTTTCTGAACAAGTCGTTTTGGAAGATTCTGATGCACGGCTAGAATTTGCATTTTATGTAGAAATAAAATAGAGTTACACAAATAACTGCAAGGCAAGGCAGCCTCAGAGGTACAAAGACAGCAAAATTCAAAAACAGATGTCATTTCTACATGGGAGGTCAGGAAAGGAGTCGCAGTAAAGATCATATTGGTGTGAGCTTTGAAAACTAAGGGTTGGAAGTGTAGCTCAGTGGCACAGCACTTGCCTAGCATGAATGAGAGTCTGGGTTCCAATCCCAGCACAGTCAAACAAAGGAAGGAGGAAGGAAAGAAGAAAAAAGAGAACAGGCAATGGTTTAGATAGTGAGAAGATCAGTCATGTGGAATAATAAAATATGAGTACAGCACAAGAGTGAGACATTACTTGAAAATTATTTTTAAGAAATAGCTCAGACAACAGTTTCATTTGATCAATAGTTTGTACAAGTGATTGAAATAAAATAAAATGGGCTTCACTCTGCAAAATACCATGTTTTTACTTACTATCACGGGCAATGAATACTCAAAACACACTTTAGAAAAACAAACACGGTATAAACAGTGATTTTTATATGCACAGAAAAGTAGGCCCTACACCAGAAGAGAAGGAGCAGTTAACTCTAAGTGGGGAATAATATGAGCAATTTTCTCCTTTTTGAATTTGTCTTCAGTTTCTGAATATTGAGCAGGTGTCACTGTTGTAGAAACAGGATTGTTTAATAAATCCAGCACTGTACAAAATAGGCTCAGAGCAACGAAATCGGAAGCAGGGAGAATGACATTTTGAAATATACCCTGGGGAGCCAATGACAGATCCACAGAGAAAATTGAGAAGATAAACTTGGGAACTGATTAAGACAATGAGAAAAGAACATTGAAAACTATAGCTCAGATTTAAGTCTCTTTGATGGATGAAATTACTGCGTAGGTTAGAGAGGTTGCAAAGTTGCTTAGGGGATTGAAATAATGGTGTCTACTTTGTACATGCTGAGTTAAGGTATTAGCAGGCTTTCTAAGAGCAAACACTCATTGAGCAGTTATAATGTGGGCATTTTGCTCTCTCCTTCCTAACTGCTGGCACTATGCTAGGTACCCAAAGACAAACGGGCTATCATCTCTGAACTCACAAGTATGCAGAGTAATGGAGAAGACCATCCGTGAGAATGGATAATCCAGCCATGGAAACATGCTCAGGCAGTATGCAGGCCAAACAAATGAAAAGCCTGGAGGAATCTGGGGACGTTTCTGAGAGCAGGGAAGGGATGAAGTAAGACCTGAAAGAGGAGTGAGATTGATAAATAGGTATGAGAGGACAGTGGAAGAGAGAATCCATGCTTCCCAAATGAAGTAAAGAGCGAAAGTGTGGAAAGGTGAAACTCAGAGCACACAGTCTAGGCTGTGGGCCTGGAAGCGAGGGGCTGCATCTTCTGGACCCTGCTGTGTCATCACCAAGAGAGAACTGAGGGGCAGATCACTCTGAAGACACCTGGACAGGTAATGAGCAGCTGAAGACTTCTAAGCTGGGGAGTGAGAGGGGAGCTTAAATCATGGAGAGAGACCTGTACTGGAGACAGAGAAAATGGATTTGTTCCAGATTGGGGATAAAGCAAATTCCATCATCGACTCACTATTTCTGATGTCACGGAGACATGTGTGCACTGAGGAATGACTGAATGTTTTGTCTTCTAGCTTCAAAAATAAGTTGTCTCCTCACGATGTATGCTATTGAACGCTGTTTACCTTTTGCAAGTTCATTATTAAAGGCAAAGATAACTCTTACTTCACTTAATGTGTCATTATATAGTGCTCAGTTTATAAATTTTCCTTAGCCAGATGTAGGTGGTTGTGCACAGCTGTAATCCTAGCCACCAGGAGGCTGAGTCAGGAGGATCACTGTGACTTTGAGGCCAAAGAGTTCAAGTCCAGCCTGGGCTACAGAGAAAGACCATGTCTGAAAAAAATTGTGTCTGTCTCTTTAGATATATCACAAACTTTGTTTTGACCTAAAATTAAAGCATATATAGGAAAACATTTTCTTTCCTTTTTGTCTGTTTTTGTTCATTCATTAAACATCTACTAACAAGTCATCGTGTCTTAGGTGCTGTGCAATGGGCTGCACATGCAGCTCAGAAAACGAAGAAGGAATCTCCACTTGAGGAACCTATAGTCTCTTGGAAGAGTCAGACGATGAATAAAGTGAATTTTAAAGAGAAATTCTGCTCTGGGCTGTGGGAACAACAGAAGACATTACTTTTGACCAGAAGATCGGTGGAGGAGATGATATTTGAGCAACACCTTAAAAATATAAAATAGATTTTGGATAAACAGTCCTTATATTGATGTCGCACTGAGATGTGAGACTTGCATGGCTCCAGGACCTGTATGGGCTCAGTCCTATTTTCCACAGATGAACAATTTCATATGGTTCTTCCTGCTCTTAAATATCTTAATTACGTGAAATGTTTCAGTATATACCCAGACCTGATTTAACAATCAAAAAATGGGAAGCTCTACCTGCTCTAAGTCACACCAATAGGGATGTGCAGACCTGGCTGACTGTCCCTGCCCTTGGTCCCAAGGCAGCCGATGCACAACATGGTCTCTGTCCCTAACAGCTTCCCTTGCCACAGGGTGGAGGGAGGGCTGGGGAAACATGAGGAGCCCACAAAGTTAGATATATTCACTTGGCCAGGATATCTGCCAGATCATCTGTTACCTTCTCTTGGACTTTTATGGCTGTACCTCAACTATGAAAAATACCAGTAGTAGTTTTTACCTGTAGCTCTGAGACCCTCTGTGTACTCTAACATAACATTTTTTGTGTATGTGACCAGAGCACAACGCATAAGCTTGGTTTGCACATCCTGCTGCTTCAGCCCATCTTCTAGCCTTTTGAAAACATCTTTCCTTTTTCTACAAATGGGACTTAATGTTCTTGTACACACATTTCTCAAGGTTATTAATATAATCAAGCTTTACTAACAATTTCTAGATGCCAGAAATTGGCTGGAATCTGAATTACCATCTTTTGCCTGGAGCATTTATATTTAATTAAGTTTATTTGTTTTGGAATTTTCCAACAAAATTTTAATAAACAACTCACTCTCCTATTTTTTCTAAGTAATACCTTTCTTTGAATTTTATTTTCAACTTCTTCTAGTATACCAGTCTAACCCCTAAAATTTTCTCCTTAATTTTTTTTCATTCTGTGTTGTTTAAAAGATTGTGATTAGGCTACAAAATGACTATTTGATTACTTCCTCAGCTTTGGAAAAATCAGGCTAGTGTAAAAATTTTTTTAACTTTTAATATTTTTACCTACTATAGATAAAAAGAAAACCACATTAACTTACAGTGATCAGATAAAGCATCTGACATCAGGAGTTATATAATATAAAAATAACAGAAATTAAGTTTCTGTCTGATAACTGACTTCGTTTTCATTAGTTATTCTTTTCCTACATGTTGCCACTCACAAGGGAGGTGCACCACTAGAACTCTGTGATCGTATCTTTTACAAAGAACAAAACTGATGATTGTAATTAGAGTGTGCATTAATTAGAGAAAGGATTCTCTCTTATGTGTTTTGAATTTTATCAGTTTTCCTTAATGAGTCTCCTCTTTTCTGAGGGTGCAGGGGAAAGGATGAAATCTCCTTTGGGTTTATACAGTGTGAGAATTGTCTTAATAAATCATTTTCCCCTTTGTGTTATTTGGAAAGCACCTTAATGTACTGGAAGTTTTTCTTCTTTCTTTAGCCTTTCCTCTCTTCCTTCTGAAATACAGAAATCTTTTCTCCAGTAAACATCCCCTCGCATACATCCTGCAGTTTATTATTCTGACAAAACCTCAAGGTAACTCAAAATAATTTTGTGACTAGAGGTTTCTTTTCAAAAGTTCAACCTTCTAGCAATAAGTAACAGTCAAGATTGCCGAGAAAAAGGAAAAACACAGTTAATAAGCCTTTCTGCAGAGCCCTGCAAATAGGTCTCATAATAGTCCTTTAAAAAGCAGTGTGTAAACTTGGCGTGGTGATGCACACCTGTAGTTCCAGCACTCAGAAGGCTGAGGCAGGAGGATCACTGAGAGTTCAGGGCCAGCCTGGACTATACAGAGAAGCTCCAGGAGGCTGTCATGTATAGATTCCACCTGCAGGCCCCATGGCCCTCCAACTCTGGTGGGCTTTGTCCAATGGGGATTCCCAGCAGGACTGCTTCCAGTCCCAGCCCTTTGGACTTGGGGATGTTTAACAGTTCTGGTGTACTAGGTTAGTACACTAGACCTGTGTTTCCCCATAACCACATCTTTGTAAACAGTCTAACTGTGGATGATCAAAATGATGTTCTTCATGGGCCATCTTTGTGTTGCTGGGCTTCTGACTAAAGTAGGTAATTATATTACATTCATTTTAGTGATGAAGCTTAGAGAGCTTATGCAACTTGGCAATTGCCACCTTACTGATTTCCACTGAGCTAAGACTCAAACTGCCTGGTGACTGCCAAAGTTGGGTACACTGGCACATACCTATAATACCCGTACTTTGCGGGGGCTGAGGCACGAGGATCACAAGTTCAAGTCATGCCTGGGTAACTTAATGTGATCCTATCTCAAAATTAAAAAGGGGGCGGTGGCTGTAGGCAAAGACCCTGGGTTTGATCACCAGTACAAAAAAAAAAAAAAAAGAAGAAGAAGAAGCATGGTTCTTTCCACTACATTCACTGCTCCCTCCCTGATAGGAAGCTATATAGCCAGTGAATAAGTATCATAAGAAAGCCACAGTTTTCACAGCATTCAAAAGGAAATGGGGCAGCTCACAAAACTTTTACATGAACAATTCGTCAGCAAGCTAATGGATCAAATACTGAGCATGAATGTACAACGCACTGAAACAAGCTCGATTCTTGGGACCTAGCTCATAATTCATTGTTCAGCTTCTTTTTAGAAACTACATAAGGCACAAAACCATATACTCAGGTCTTCCCTAAAATACACTCTGTATGAGGATCATGGATGAGGTAGCAACTGACAAAGAAAAGGACTGGGAATCAAGGGAGGGGTGAAAATCTCAATGGTCTATCATGTCCTTTATTTAGTAAGGAAAAACAATGCTTTTACATTTTGGCACAACTTTAATGATACAGCTAGGCCAGAAAGAAAAAAATCAACATGCACTGAAATGACCCCACCCAATGTAGATAAATCTAAGACTGTATTCTTATTTATAGTTCTAAACTCTTATAAATTATAGATGGTTAAAGATAACATGTTTTCCTTTGGTATTAATATCTGCTTTTCTTCAATTCATCAAGTGAATAGCAACCATCACTTTTCAAACATCACTTTTTTCATTAAGCTTACTGAAATAAAATGATTAATAGTGACGATAAGCTAAATGATCAAATAATAATGCAGTCACTGCCATCTCATCTGTGGAGGAGATTGTAACATACAAATTTAAGCATTCACACTCACACAAAGAAGAACCGTGTGCAGACATGATCTGTGTTTGGGACTACCCATATCTCTCCATGTTTGTGCAGGTCAGGTGAAGTGATCACTGTTAAGAAGACAGAGACAGAGACAACCGTTTTACTCTAAAGGATTCCTACTTCTTTAGACTATATCACTTCTCCCTGAAACCTAAAATTAAAAATACATATACAAATAAAAGTGAAAAAATCCTTAACCTAATTATCTATTAAGGAAATATAAACAAAAGCAATGAAAAGCTGTGTAACAACTTTATAATCTGAGTAACATTTGGTATAACAGGAAGAAAACCACTTGAATATTATCAAAGACAAACAGGTCCTGACTTGAAAATCATGTAGACATCAATTTACCATCCTATGAAACTACCAAGTTTTGAAAGCATAAAAAAGACAGCTGACAATGGCTACTGGAACCTAACACAAGAAGAAAAAACATACATTTAGCCAAAGTCAAATTTTAAAAAGAAAAGTACATACTCTTTCAAACTACATAGCAATTTTCTGTCCGAAGCTCAGAATGAAAGATTAGTTTTGGTGTAGGGGTAGAAAACCCTATTAAGTTATTGTCTCAAAGTTTGGCTCATTTTCCAAGATTCTCATTCCATCATATATTCAAATACTGACTTAAAGAGTCACCCTAAGGTAGCACATTAACAAAAGAGATAAGCATTACTTGATCAGAAAAAGATATAATACCATTTTGAAATATGTGCCAGGAATAAAATATAGCACTGTCTAACTTCTTGCCAGTTCTGTAATTTGGTCTTAACCTTCATGATCTCTATTGTACTCATTTTCCATTTATGCCCTTCAAGATGATCATAAGCAGTGATGCTTCCACTATTCTATCAGGCACACTCTGCAAATGCACTTGAATTCTCAAACACAGATAAGAAGGGAAATGGACACTGTGGTACTTACCTTCACATAAGGCTATGCATTTTAAGTTACGGCTTTGCAGGAATTGGGATTGCTGTCCTTTCTTCTGTGACTAAATTCCAAAACAATTTAAAAATTAGAGTAAAAATGGGGCAGTCACTCTAATGAAAAAAAAAATTAGCCACTAAGATGACTCTAGGGGAAAACAAAAACCTAGACTAGCATCAATGTCCTTGTACTCTCTAATTCTTAATATCTATTTTTGTTGTATCATTTAATTTATGCATATAATTATTGAATCACTCAAAAAAATCAGTGAACTGAAACAATACTAAATTAGAAACCAGTAGTCTCACAATATTTAATTAAAACTCAGACTTATATTTGTTGAAAGCCAGGCATCTTTTAACAATAAACAAAATTAAATTTTTATGATCTTTTCAAACATTAAAATCCATCATTTCAGATCATATAATGATTTTAAACCAATCCATCTTTACAGCAACATTTACTAAGCCATGGAAGTTTGCAAAACATCTCCTGTAGAAGATCGAGGCCGAGGGTGTTTCCAGTTTTTGCATGAAGATACAAGATTATTTTGTTTGTTTTTTGTAAATTGAAGCTCAGACTATTCATCAAATGGATTTTTAATTTGCCTGGAATTTACTTATTTTCTCTGAAACAACATGGGATTTCCACTCACTCTTTTCTCCCAAGAGCCACAAGGCTTCTGTATTCACCATATATGAGGCTCTACTTGAATCTCATCTCTCAGAGCACCTGACCATCCCATTTAACATTTACTCCAGTGCCCTCTTCTACCCTACAGCATGAAATAATGTCTTTTCTCTAACCTATTTTCCTATGCCATCTGGAATTCTGCTTAAATAGGTTTCTAATTTGTTTATATTCCCTTGGTGGAATGCAGGATCAAGGGGGACTGTGGAATACTTGTCTGGTTTTGGTCACCGTTGTCCCCTATTGACTATAAGAGTCTCTGGAGTTGTAGTTGAGAAATCAACAAATGCCTGTTGGATAATTATGGTGTAGACACAATTGCTTATTACATTTCTGAGAGAGCTTTACTCCTTTATGAATAATGACTGCTTGAAATAATTTTTGCAAAACTTAATAAGCGTGAGTGTTTGCTGGCTAACGAGGCCATGGTTGCCTACTTATATGCAGTCACACGAGTTGCTACAACACCTGTGATGCACTGCTGCTTTTACTGCTTGAAGCGGGCTCGTCCTTGGCTGACACCTTCTGCTTCTTGTTCATCCCTGAAAACATCAGCAAAATAACAACTTAAGGACAAAGCTATACGATGCAGCTCCAAATACAATTTGCTATGTAGCAAAGTTCTACAGCAGGCAGAGTTCTGATCACTCAGGCCAGAGACAGCCACAGTGGCTCCCAAAGAAGGGTTGCTGTGCCCAAGAACCTGGGGTGGAGAATCAGTGGGTGAGGGAAATCCTAGTAGAGTAAAGACGGAGGAGTCTGAGGTTGCTTTTCTTTACATTTTAAAGTTAGGGACAGCAAAGTTTTTTGCAGAAAATTAATACAATTAGATAACCCTAAAAAACAGATTTTAAAGTGCTTAGGTAGAATTAGTTTTCATTCTTATCATCTGCTTAGTAGAAGGAGATAATGAATAAGAAATCTAAGCAATGTCAAAAAAATGTTTCTAAACTGCAATTTTGTGAACTGTCAATATATACTCAATTCTGTGTAGAATTTACCATTTCTTCTAATTAAGAAAAACTAAAGTTACTTTTTTTGTCTATGATAGTCACAAAGCTTAGCTTATGCTGTTAATGCTGTGATTTGTTACTGTGAGTTTAGAAAAGAGGAACCAATATATAGACCATGACCAAGTTGGATTCACCCCAGGGATGCAGGAATGGTTCAACATATGCAAATCAATAAATTTAATACACTATATTAACAGAGCCAAGGACAAAAACCATATGATCCTCTCAACAGATGCAGAAATGCTCAAATGCAGAAAAAGCACTGACAAGGTCCAACACCCATTCATGATAAAAACCCTAAAGAAAATTGGTATAGATGGTCTTTATCTCAACCTGATAACAGCCATCTATGACAAATCAACAGCTAACATCAAACTAAATGGACAAAAACTGAAAGCTTTCACTCTACAATCAGGAACAAGACAAGGATATCCACTGTCACCACTCTTGTTCAATATAGTTCTGGAAACATTAGCCACAGCAATTAGACAAGAGAAAGAAAAAAGATAAGGATAGGAAAGGAAAAAGTTAAATTATCATTATTTGCAGATGACATAATCCTCTATATAGAAGAGCCCAAAAACTCCACTGAAAGACTTTAGATTTGATAACCAAATTCAGTGGTGTAGCTGGATACAAAGTCAACACTCAAAAGTCAAGAGCCTTCCTGTACATGAATAACAGACTCACAGAGAGAGAAATTAGAGAAACAATCCCTTTCACAATAGCATCCCCCAAAAATGAAATAACTAGGAATCAACTTAACAAAGGAAGTAAAAGACCTCTACAATAAAAACTATAGTACTTGGAAAAAGGAGATTGAAGAGGATATCAGAAAATGGAAAGATATCCCTTATTCTTGGATAGGAAGAACCAATAGAGTAAATGGTCATACTTCCAAAACTGTTATACAGATTCAATGCAATTTCAATCAAAATCCCAACAGCATAGCTCCCAGAATTAGAAAAAACAATCCTAAAATACATTTGGAACCAGAAGAGGCCTAGAATAGCAAAGGCAATTTGGGGCAACAAAGGCAAAGCAGGGGGTATCACAATCCCTGACTTTAAATTACACTATAAAACTATGGTGTTAAAAACCGCATGGTACTGGCGAAAGAACAGACCTGAAGATCAGTGGAATAGACTAGAGAATGCAAAAACAACTCCAGACATACTCAACCACGTTATCTTTGACAAAGGAGCCAAACACCTTCACTGGAAGAAAGATAGCCTCCTTCACAAATGGTACTGGAAAAACTGGCTTTCTGCAGGCAGAAGGTTGAAACTAGACCCATTATCTTTCACCACACACTAACCTAAAAACCTAAAATCTAAATAGATCAAAGATCTAAATATTAAAAGAGAAACACTAAATATGTTGGAAGAGAGACTAGGTAGAACGCTTGAGGACATAGGATTAGGCAAAGACTTCATGAACAAAACCCAGACTGCATGGTAACTATCACAAAGAATCCAACTGGGACTTCATCATCTTATTAAGCTTTCAAAAAGCAAGAGAAAAACTACCAGCTGAGTGAAGAGACAACCCACAGGGTGGGAAAAAAATTTTAACAGCTATTCCGATAAAAGATTATTATTTAGAATATATAAAAAACTCAACAAAATCAGATCTCCCAGATTTAAAGATCCAATGCAAAAATGGGCATCTGAAATAAAAAGACACAAATAAGAAATGGCAAATAAATATATGAAAAAGTGTTCAACATCACTGGTCATTCGTGAAATGCAAATTAAAACAATGCTGAGATTCCATTTCACTCCAGAAAGAATGGCTGCTACCAAAATATCAACCAATAACAAATGCTGGAGAGGCTGTGGGGAAAAAGGAGCACTTCTCCACTGCTGGTAGGAGTGTAGACTGGTACAACCACTGTGGAAGTCAGTGTGGAGATTCCTTAAAGAACTAAAAGTAGAGGTTCCTTTAGACCCAGCTATATCTCTTCCTGGTATCTTCTTGAAAGAATTAAAAGTATCATACACAGCGATATATGCACAGCCATGTTTATAGCAGTACAGTTTGTAATAGCCAAATCATGGAAACAACCCAAATGCTCATCAACTGATGAGTGGATAAAGTAGATGTAGTTTTTTGATACAATGGAATACTACTCTGCCATAAAGAAGGATGAGCTTCAGACATTTATAGCTAAATGGATGCACCTTGAGACCATATTCTTAAGTGAAATAAATTGGACACACATGTTTAAATACTGCACTGTTTCTCTGGTGTGACAAATCGAAAGCAGAAATAAGGACTGAAGTGTATAACAGATGTTGGGAAATGAGAAGAAAATATTCAAATGGGAAGGGGAACAAGTGAGGACGGAGGGAGGAAGGAAGGAAAGGATAAGAAAAAAAGTGAAAACAAGGAAAAAATGGAAACAAAGCTTTTGTACGTAGGGAGAAGGGGCTTGCCAGGGTAGAAAGAAAATTTTTAAAATTTATTTTAAAATGGAATTAATAGACATATCTGTTTTTAACAGACTTTATTAGAAATTATACATCTACTTTCATACTAAAAATTAGGAAATAGTTGCTTTTTTATTGTTGATATTTTAATAAATGGCTTAATGAGAAGGAGCAAAAGCCCATTTACCAATTTGCAACATATGTTTATCTGACCCTTTCCAAATTGGGCACTTCCCCAAAAGGTACAACATGCCCACGATTTCAGATATGAATGGCAAATGGCAACATGGCAGGCTTGATGAGGGCAGGGTCTGTCTCATTCTCTTCATGTACATTTCAGCATGCAAACCAACTGCAGAAGTGATTTTATCTTAAAGTAGTGATTTTTATTTTGTGTGTGACTGCTGCTGGGAATTAAACCCTGGGCCTCACACATCCCAGGGAAGCTCATTACCACTGGATTACACCTTCAGGCCATTACTCTTGCATTTCTTCACATCAAAAGCCCTTCAAAAATTTGATATAAGATACGGACTCTCCCCTGACGATTGCAGAGACAAAATCTTAAATATCCATTTGGAGTTTGTGCCTCCCTCAGTCCTTCCCATGAATCCAGCTAAGGAGGCTGCACACCAGGAGGAGAAGGAGAGTATCACAGTATTTAGTAATTTGTTGTGCTTTTTATTTTATCTAGGCTGAGGATAATATTTATTTATTTATTTATTTATTTAAATTGCCCTTTTTTTGCTTTTTATTTTTATTATTTCAGTAAAATCTGCAGTCTGATTTTAATTATTTTCTATTTTAACGACAACCATACCCAACTGCTTGGAAAAACTAATTTGGTTCTGGATGAATTTTTATGGAAAATTTTGTTTCAGGGCTGCTCATTTGTTCGGTACTCCACCCACAAGCTAGAACTTGTCAGGGTCAATTGTCTTTGACTCACTACCCTTTACATCCAAAGCAATTGTTTGGTACTTGTCGTTTTTGGTACTCATTCACTCCTCCTGGAATCAATTCAGTACACAACGTATGTTATTCCAGGTTTTATCTCTGTACTATCTTATCCTTTCTGGTATTTGTTTTTAAAAATCACTACAACAGTGCTTCTGAACGTATACCCTGCTATATATCAAGGGTTGGCATCTAATTCCCCAACTCTTGAGTATGGAAGGTCCTGGGACTGCTTTGACCATGAGAGTATAAGCTGATAGCAGCTGACGTCTGAAACAAGATCAGAAAATGCTATCTCAAATGGATCTTAAATTCTTTTAGGATACGCTAGGATAATTCTGGTGACAAATCCAGCTGTCCTGTATGTGCCACACTGCGCAGGCTGCCCTAGGAGCCTGGGTGTGAGTTCCAGCTCCCTCTGCTGAGGTACCTGGCCCATGAAGGACGGGATCACAGGCTGCTCACTGCCCACTACCACTCAGGGGACACTTCAAGGAGCAGTGTCATCCCCCGGCCTACTCGTACACAACATTCCTGATCTAAGAATCCATGAACATAATAAAGTGGCTGTTTCACACCAAATTTAGGGTAGTCTGCTGTACAGTAGTGATTATTTGAGTAATCATCTGTACTTATACACTTGCTCTCTTTTAATTTTCCATGGCAGTTTTTATTGTAGCTTTCCTTTTTTCCTGTTATTTTACAATTCTTTAACTCAGTATGCTTAGTTTTTACCACTCTCATTGTTTGCTCTTCGTATTCCTAATGATAATTTAATTTTAAGTGTTTCAATTTTTCTCCACCACCATTGAGAAAAAGTTGTTATGGTTGAAAGAAAAACTTTGGTAACTGAATCAAGACAGGTAGGCCTGCTTAATGTTCACTTAGTTACTAGACTTCACTAAATGTTCCTTCTTATAACATAAGGATACCAAGATCTACTGTTCAGGCATCATGTGAACAACATCTCCAGAACTGGAAAATGATCGCATCTCACACATACACACTCATGCAAATCCAACTGCACGTGCAGGCAGAGGAATATGAATGCATATTAAGTGCAAAGAAAAACATACCAAACACTGAGTTGTAGGAAATGAGAAAAATTTCTTTTGTTTTTGAAATTTTTCATTTGTTATTTTAAAAATTGGGTGCAGTTCGAACCTCTTTGCAATGAGCATATTTATTTTAAACATGAAAAACAGGTAAGACTTAATCACTAATTTCAACAATTAATGCCAATAATTTGGTGATCATTTTTTCCACATTTTGAGCTTAACTTTTTTCCCTCAACACATGCTTTCAATTTATCCCAAAATATTTTTCTCTGCACTCTCAACAAATATTAGCAAGAAGTTGTTACTGGGCTTTGTTTCTGTTTCTACTGCTTATCAAATGAGTTTAATACAAATATACGCAATAAATCTCAGTCACTTGATAGAAAACTGCCTTGAGTATCTAACAATAAGAACCTCATAAATCAGAAGGTAGAAATAAGGATTACCTGAGTAGCCAAATGATATGCTTGACATTGGACTAAGATAGATCCCACTTCCATACATCGCACCATGAAGCTAAAATGGGAAGACATAGGGAGACAGATCAGTCAATGGTGTACAAATACTATTATTTCACAAATGAAAGCACTAAGTTTCATGTTAGAATATTAAATCTTAGAAAAATGATAGTGCTCATATTTTAAAGTCCAATTTGAAAATATACCCTGTTGTTTAAAATTCAGAGCGAGACTTCTGGGAAGATGGCGGAGTGGTGAGCAACAGAGAAACACTCTCCAAGATTTGGTGTCCTGACACTGGAATAGAGCAGCATGAGGAGGAGAAGGAGGGAAGGTGTTCCCCAGGACCTAGGAAGGATCTGAGGCAAGAACTGAAGTCTACAGGGCAAGTGAAAAGAGAGACTTTAATGAAGAGAAAGGAGATACCAAGCAGTGCTCTCTCCTAGAGCCTGGACTCTCCGAGAGGAAACAGTGGACCAAAACTGCAGATGCATAGTTAGTGACTACCCCAGAGGCCTCCACGGAGAAACACACCAGTCAAACAGAGCAGTGGACAAACCTGACTGCAACAGTTGGTGAGTTATCTGGGTTCAGACCTCAGGCTGGTAGCCATCTTGAAGAGGGGCCAACTGAGCTTGGAACTCAGAACGGCTCCAGGCAGACTCCATCTAGTGGCTCCCGGTGCCTCACTTCGAGTGCTGAGTTCAAGTTAGCAGCGGGTCAGGGAGTAGAGTTCACGCCAGCAGGAGACACATAGACTGTGACAGGCTCAAGGAATCCGGTTACAGCCTCATGGCCAGAAACTGGCCTCAACTTCAGAGGAACTAAAGGGGCAGGCTGGCTGGGATTATCCGCTACCCCACCATGAAGCTGCAGCTAGCTTGCTGGGATTAATCAATTTGGCTCTGGACTCTGTTTGCCCACACTGCCTAACAGTGACAGCAGAGACACACCATGAATAGGACATTTTGGGGGGATTTTAATCTTTTTTCTTTTTCTTTTTTTCTTCTTTTTTCCTTCTTCCTTTCTAGTTTTCGCTTTATTTTGTTTAGCTTTTTTTCAGTTGTTTAAACAGTTTCTAGGGGGTGTTTTTGTTTGTTTCTGTTCTGCTCTTGTTTTTATTTTCTTCTTTTCTCTTTCCCACCTGTTCTCTTCACCAGTTTCCTAAAGTTTGTCCTCCAGCCTTGCTTCTGATCTCTTGTTCTTCTTCTGTTTGTTTTTTAATCCCAACCCCTTTTAAGTCTTCTCCCCTAAGGGTAAAAATGCTATAGTGAGGGCTATAATTTGTCATTTTCTAGGCTGTATTAGATGCTATTGTTATTATTGTTGATTGTAATACTTTAGCCAAGGTGACATAATTGTGCTAATCAGTTGTTCCTCCTTGTATACCAAGACTGAGATTGCCTAAGGGTCTTTAAAGAAACAAAACTTATAGGCCAATGCCTATAATAGTCAATATTTGGCTAGGCCAAATAGGCAGAAACTTCTCATCCTCAATAAATTGAAGAGGTAGGATCCTGCAACAGACTCAAAACCCAAAAGCTAGTTGCACCTGGAAGATGCTTCTGAGAAGCAGTCATTTCCTAAGGGTTCTGAATATTGGCAATAAAGCTACTCACCATAAGCAATTTACAAGGATCAACTCAGGAATCAAACTTTAAAAAACTTAAAAAAAAAAAAAAAAAAGAGAAAATAAGACACTTAAGATGCAACCTCCACCAAATGTAAAGATGCAGTTCACCAAATGTAAATCGTGGGGACAATGAAGTGGAACAATCCAAAAACCACCCACCTGGACTGTGAAGTGGAAACACCAGACATAACAAAACAAATGAACAAGACTCTAGAAATAAATCAAAGCACAAATAACTTCCCATATAACTACAGAGATGGTGACCAGAAGGAAAGATACAGCTAAAAAAACAGAGGTGCCTAAGAACATGATAGAAACCATGAATGCATAAGAAAGAAAGAGAATCCATGAAGCAGATTCAAACAGATATCCAAGACATTAAAAATTCCATTGAAAGTATATGCAGCTGAATGAGTCAGAGAGATTTCTTAAAAATAGCAAGGGACCATAAGAAATCAATCCAGCAGCTGCTAGATGATGCAAAGAAGAATAACATAAGATTGACTGGAGTCCACGAAAAAGCAGGAGATAGCACAAATGACATAAAAAACCTGTTCTCAGAAGTAATGGCAGAAAACTTTCTAAACAGAGAAAGAGAATTTGACATACAGATAAGTGAAGGCATATAAGACTCCAATTAGCCATGATAAAAAAAAAAAATCTTCCCCAAGGCATATAATAGTCAAGATTCCAAAAATTGAACACAAGGACAAAATTTTGAAAGCTGTTAGAGAAAAGAAAGAAATCACCTATAAAGGAAAGCCCCTCAGAATCACAGCAGACTTTGCAACACAAACTCTCAAGTCAAGGAGAGCTTGGAGTGAAGTATTTCTAGCCCTAAAGGAAAACAACCTCCAACCCAGACTGATGTATCCTGTCTATTCTTCAAAATTGATGGAGAAATAAGATACTTCCATGACAAAGAACACCTGAAGAAATTCATGACCACTGAACCAACACTCCAAAGTGTTCTGAAGGATATTCTAGAAAGAAAAAATAAGGATTACAATTCCATGAACCCTAACAGAATGAATCCACCAGGCAAGGCAAGAAATTAAACAGAAAAGGAAAGAAGGAAGCCAACAGTAGAAAAATAACATGACAGAGATAAGACAATATAAACAAAGTGTCTACTCAGATTGTCATTACAACAACACTATCTGTCAGCTCACTTCTAGCTTCCTTCACATTTTTTAAGTTGTACAGAATTTCATTAGCTGAATTTCTTGAATTCATCTAAGGAAACAACTCAGAACAATTAAAATCCTTTCTTATCTCCATTCTAAGGGCCTCAGATCTTATTAGCATGTAATGAGTACTAATTCCATAAATGTCCACATGTGGAAATTTACATGTAACTGTATCACTTCAAATGCCACTGTATTGTGGCATCTAGCTCAGAGTCATGGGTTCAGCTTCTCATTTCCTGATATCCTTACGTTGTTGAATGAGAAATTCAGGTATATGAGTGGGAAGCGGAATGTGAAAGATGATAAAAGATGGCATACATAAAGACACTGGCGTAAGAAAATATTTTATGAACAAAACCTCAGTCGCACAGGAACTAGCATAAAGAATCAACAACTGGGATCTCATCTTATTAAAAAGCTTCTCACAGAAAGAGAAACCACCAACAGCATGAAGAGACAACGCACAATGTGGGAAAACATTTTCACCAACTGTTCCTCAGACAAAGGTCTACTATCTAGAATAAAGAACTTAAAAAAATCAGATCCCCCCAAATTTAAAGACCCAATCCAAAAATAGGCTTCTGAATAGACATTTCTCAGGCAAAGAAGTAGAATCAGCAAACAAACATATAAAAGAATGTTCAACATCACTGGTCATTCGAGAGATGCAGATAAATAAAACACTGAGACTCCATCTCACTCCAGAAAGAACGGCTGCTAACAAGACAAGGATACAGATAAGGACTATTGCCACAATATCCTGCTAACGCCAAGTGCTGTCTCAGAGGCTAAAAAGCAGGTACGAGAAGGCTCTTTGGTATCCAATTTCCACTTTGCTTATTTCTACATTTTCTCCTCCAAAAGGATTCACACTGAGGCACAATACTCCAGAAAGGTATATTGGACTAGTGGACAGAATGCCTGCATGGTTTCATCTTGTGCATGATATTTTTTCCTACTTAAGCTGAAAGTGTGATTCTTACCCTCATAGGAAACTCACTTTTCTTCTTTTTTTTCTTCATTGTATATAGATCATTTTAACTTCAGCTATTTTGAAAAAATGTACTTAAACCTCTCATGCCTTCTCTTTTGTTAAGTACAAACATTACACCAGGATTGCTTACTGAACCTCAGTGCTGAAGAACAATGGGGTCTCATTAAAGCATTCAGAAAATTTACCTGCAATCGTGTATTAGAGGCGACAACCAGACCATTCCTCAGGATGGAGTGCCAGTTCTCAATGTGTGAGCCACTGAAAAAAGAGGGGAGGGGAAAATCAAAAGCGGAAAATCAACAATCTTTGAAAATGGTCAGAGTATATATAAGTCACAATGATGCTGCCAGTTCTGAGCTAGTAAAGGGACTCAAGAAGGAGGGAGAGGGAGAAAGGAAGGGGAGGGGATGAAAAGAGAAGTAAGATGTGTCATGTACACAAGAAATGTAATCATTATGTACTGCAAATACGTACTAATAAAAAGTAAAAATTGGAAATAAAGTAGAAAGAAGTTCTGAGTTTCCAAGACAAGTATTATTACGCAGTTGGGCAGTCAATGCTTATGGCCAACTACTAGGAGAGTATGTCTTTTTCCCCAGCATTCTAGGAACACATCCCCATTAACATTAAGCCATACTCACTGAAATGCAAAGGTGCTTCCAAAGAGTTTTTTAGCAGCTCTAAAATTGGATTCTTTGGCTGGGGGACTGCTGAGAAGAAGGAACTGGTGTGGAGTATGCATAAACTTCAATTGCTGCCATTGAAAATAATGACAAATGAAAACACATCAGATTTACCATCTAATGAGGTTAATGACAATTTCAAATTTTATTGGGTTAAGAGGTAACGGATTTCAAAATATACTCATTTGACACTAATCTATTAACAGGCTAATTCTATATATATATATGTATTTAAACCCTACATACATGATGATATGAAATTGCTGGTGTGGAGGATACTTTTTTTTTTTTGTACCAGGGATCGAATTTGGGACCTTGCAGTTGCGAGGCAGGCGGCGGAACCACTAAGCTAAATCCCCGGCCTGGAGGATACATTTTTAAGTAAATGGGAAGAAAATAACAGACACAATACAGTCACTTATGTTCAGATTTGGAATGCACTGTGTGATCATGTCAAAAAGATTTGCTTTCTTAATTACATTTCTTTGTATGACTTTTATTATTGAATTCCCTAGCTGTTCAACTGAGGAAATATTCTAGAGTTTGCTAAACAGAAAAGAACAGAAAATTCAAGATTTTAAAATTGCAAAAATTATCACCATGCTTTATTTGCATGTATTTATAAAATTAGAAATTACCTACATTCATATTTAATTTTCCTCTTTGGTCATGGAAAGAAATCAAAGCAGAATGAGATTAATTTGCCTGACAAAATTTTTCTAATGATTTCCCTTTTACCTAGAAAGATACAGGAACATAACACATAAGAATTTCACATTTGGGGATTCATAGGGAAACTGGTTTTTAGATAGTACTTGCAGGTGATGGTAAGAACAGAAATCAGAATACATTAGTTGTGTATAACTATTATTTTAAGCTATTAGGCTGATAAGTGAGCTATCTAGAGCCTCAGATATGAAAAGGTAGAAATGTGTCAACATTAATGATTAAAAAGGACACTGATCTTCCTCTGATCAATCTCTAGATAATACTTTTTATCATCTGTAGAATAACTAAATTATATCATACTGATATGCAATTAAAAAGTCAAGGCAGCAGCTGAAGTTTCAATTTGGTATCTTCAAAAGGTTTGGGGCTAGTATACACATAGTTTCAAACTGAAGAGCTAGACTTAACCTGGGTGTATTTTCATTCTTGGACATGCTCCATAAAAATCACAGGCATGATAAAAATCACAGTTTTCTTAATTATTAAGTGCTCCTCCCATTTCTGTGTGTATATCTGGGGGAAAAAACTTACCCTGTTGACTGGTAGTTTCACAATATGTGACCTATTACTTGAAATAACCCTGAAATTAAAATAATCAGTCAATCACAAATATATGCCAAATATATTTTAAAGTTTTTCTTTGTAGCTGGCAAGCAACTAAAACCTAGTTTTTCTGTGTCATAAAAGTTAAATTCAGTAGTAATTTCATTAAATGACATAATTCTGGTTTACTTTCTGAAACAATTTAAAGAGTTTATATAACAAAAACGGTAACAATCTGAGAAAACACACTGGGAAGTAGTTCCTTAAAACTTACAAAGATTGTGTTTTTCAACAATAGTTTTTAATAAGCACAACCTCCAATATTAGCAAAATAAACATTTCTAGATATATAATACTTTCAAATAATGTTAATATACAGAAACCTTAGAGGTTGATTCATGCATCTATTTCTTTTACTTTTCTCTCTTGCCTAAATTAATAATGAGTTCTTATGAAGATTCTTAACTATCTGAGGATCTCTTTGGGAGAATATATACATAATAGTTTGCATATAAAAGTCAACATATTTAGACAGTGAAGCTGAAAAAATTAAATTCAGTATCTGAAATAAGGAACTGTTTTATGTTTTCTGGTATTTAAAGTAGTAGAGAAAATTGCATAACATTTTGGTAGATTTTCCTCTCCCTGAAAGAAAAGAGTGACAAAAAAGCAGGAGGTAATGTTCATAAACAAATGAAAGTTAACCCTCGGGCTGAGTTCAGGGAAAAAAAGAAGTACATATTTAAGATTTTTAATGTTTATTTTAAATATGACAATGAGAAAATCTAAAAGGTTAAAAGGGGAACGTTTTTTCTTAATTTGTCAGAATTTTAATACTTATGACAAATTAGGAAGGAAGGGTTCCTATGCTAATTTTTGTCATAGTCTTGTTAGATTAAATATATACTATAAAATTTCAATTAAGAGGGCAGAAGAGAGTAAAATTGATTAAGCTGCAACATGTGTAGGGATCAATTCTCCAGGATGAATGTAATTATTATATATTGCAATAATATACTAATTTTTTAAAACTTAAAAAAAATTCACCTAAGTGAAAGTTAAGTAATCCGAACCTCGAGGAAGCCAGATTATTTTTCTTTTGCCCACACTTTGTTAGATCTTCTTGGTTGCAGCCTGGAATACCAAGTTCATCTGTTCCTCAGAATTCATGTATTTGTATTTTTGTATGGTAATAGTGGTAAATACCACATTTCAAAGTTATTTTCAAAGAGACATGTACACAAAACTCTTAAGAGACCTTTATGGTTTTCATTTCACACAAGAGAAACAAGAGGCTGCATTCTTTGAGTGAGAGAGGACAGGTTAGAAGCAATGCATCTTCTGCAGCGAGCCAACAGAGTGAGCCAAATTTATACTGCCCTTTTTTGGGAAGCAAAAGATACTTTATGATTTTAAATAAAAAGGATTGATTAGTCCTCGATGAACTAGAAAATTAAATGAACCAAAATGTTTTCCACATGCCATCTAGTTAATCACGTCTTTTAAGGCCATAGACAAGATGCTGTCAAATGCACTGTATATCCCTGGTAGTGCGCATGGCAGCATTTTCTTCCCCTTGTGATATACAAGTTTTAATTAAAGTGAGCATCATTAAGGACTCTTGGGTTGTAAAATCACCAGATCTCATAAGCTTGTAGCACTGCAGGGCTTATGAAATAGGCTAAGCAAACCATAGAAAAAGATGTTGCTTTCATTAGGAGAAAAACTAAAATCTTATACCATTGCAGTAGAGGATGTGCAAGGGGGTCCTGTTTATCCATCTGCTTCTTGATTTCCAGATATGGTGCCTAAAGAAAAGAAAACTCATTATACACCTTGATTTCTCTTTATAATTCATTTTTCCTTTTTTATAAAAGGAAAAGCAGACTGGATGACACAGCTAATCTCATTAAAATTAAAAATTTATGACATTGACATAAAAAATGAGAAAGCCTATTACTTGAATGGGAGAGGGCCAATCACTTCAGGTGGGTATCACAAAAAAGGTTGGGCTCAGGCCCCCAGGTTCTTTTTTTATCCAGGCTGGACCTATGCCATGTCTCTCGCTGGGCTCACTCAGAAACAATTGCCCTAGTCATATCCCCAAGACCATGGAACTACGATCATCCATGCAGCACACAGACTTGCTTATCACTGTGGTGAGAGTCTAACCAAATTGTAGCCTAGCTTCCACCTGCACTGGGCTGGGTCTCTAAATGCCACCCTGCACCCCAAGATCCTCTGTTAAGTCTTAAGAAAATGTAATGCTGACAAACCAAAAAACGCACATTGTCCTGTAACCCAGTTCTCCGGTACTTTCAGAAATTCTCTACTTAGCTTTTTCTGTAATTTTCCACTTCCACATAACTCTCCTAAATCTTTTCTTTTTGTTTCCCATTTTCCATCCCCTTAGCCCTAATCTTCTCTTCTACCCTTCAAACCCCCTGTCTTAGTGGAAGGCAAGCTTACTTCATGCTGCGGTCCTCTCCCCAACTGCAGTCCTCTAGAAACCATCTCTTACCACTTTTAACAAGCGTCCTTTTTCTCTTTGGCAATGACCACTCTAATTTTAACTAACAATAAAGGCACTTGTGAAAACTACTACTCCAGCATAGGTGGGGGATAAAGACTTAGGTATAGATCTTTCTGTAAGAAGATTGGACATGGTTTACATAAGAATCCATTTCTAAAAAGAGAAATGTACCCAAACAATTAACCATTTCATAAAATAAGGAGCAACCTTTCTGTAACAATTTAGAGCTATATATGGCAGTGCAATCCAGAAAATAGGACAGTATAATGTTATATTTATATATTGCAAAGGTTTTAAGAATTTGATGCAATAAAAGCTGACAGCATCCCTGTGAAGTACACTCTGAAAGCAGGTGCAGTGTTATTTCTTCTACAGTGGCAGTGAAGGCACTGAGGCACCGACAATGAAGACACTTGTCCAAGGTCACAGGCCACATCATTGTTGAGCCAGTTATACAATTTGGCCTCTAACTTTATACGCTGACACTCAACCATCTACATCGCCTTCTATTAAAATAGCTTACACATGACCCAGAATGAAGGAGGCAATTTTGGGCAAAAAGCTGATTCCAGAGGCAGAGTTGGTAGCTATTTTTAAACCCAAGAATGATCTGGGTCTAGGCTATAGTATAAATACCCTAACCATTTTCATGACTAAAAATGTTTAATTTGGTGTGATACTGCAATGAGCCCTTTTTCCCCACTCTCCTCACTGGAATTTTATTGTTTTCTTTCCTTACACAGATCATAAACGGCTCCTTGAAAGAGAATGCAGATACAGAAAATTATGGGCACAGAAAAATAAATGGCAGGAATGGTGATTTTAAAGTAAATAATATCACTTGTGAATAAAAGATCTTTCATTTACTGTGGTCTGGCACATACTATCTGTTGAATGAAAATGAAGAGTTGACAAAATAAATAATGATCACAAGAATCAAGAATCAGAACTGGATATGTGAGAATGTGTTTTTCGAGCAATGTCTTCAAATACAGCACCAGAGATGACATTGAGTGATGAGAGGGAGGAGTACAGAATCTTAGTGAGTGCTGGAGTAGAAAAAGGTCCCCTGTTCCCTCCCCCAGAGAAAATAAATGGCCCAGAATGTTTGTCCTGGGCCCATGAGGGCTGATCCTCAGTGCAGAGCAAGTGTCATAACCACACAGGCCAACACAAGATCTTCTGTCCTGCACTCTGGATTATGAGTCTCTACAGGCAGAGATGTGTTTTAAACCTCTCTCTCTAAATCTCTGCTAGCAAAGAGGGTCTAATAATCAATAGTGTGTGCCTGTCCAAGTGTTGGACTATACGGTGCGGGGATGTTAGCTTTTTATAATCAACCTTAAACTTTGCTCATCAAACATTTCCATCAAAGCTCCCCTAATGATTAAAAGTATCTTAGGAAAAAAAAATATCTTAGAACAGGGCCCAGGACGTGGCTCAGTGGTGCTGCACCTGCCTGGCAAGCGCAAGGTCCTGAGTTCGATCCCCAATACCAAAAAACAAACAAAAAATATCTTAGAACTTCTGGTGTATTCCAAAGTAGTTTTAGAGTCTTTGTTATATCTTAAACACACGATATTTTTGTTATGAAGAATACTGGTTTTTATTTTAACTTTAAAATTATTACTAGTAATGAAAATTGATCTCATAGGACACTGATACTAGATTTAACCTTGACCATAAAATATCTCAACATATTTACATGAATTCAAAGTTCTTGGTGAGTTTGAGGACAGTGTCAGCATGACAATGTGCTGACAGAATGTAATTGAAGCTCCCTAATGCAGCACAATTCTTTTAAGATTTTAATTATGCTCCATATAATAGAAAATCTATGCTTCACAAGACCAGTACTCCCGGATATTTTTAAAATATGATTTTTAAACATGCAAAATGAACAGTACGAGACCACAAGATGACACACTTACTTGTGTCATTTCTCTGATGGAAGTTATGCTATCCAGTGCTTTCATTACTCGATCGTAGTTTTTCTTCTATATAATGAAAAAAGAAGAATGTTCACTTACAAGCCTTTGCAAGTCTACTTATCAGTAGAGAAATACATTATTTCTATACATGAATTTTCCAGCAGAGTCAATGTGAAAGCTCTGACTATTTTAGGTTCATAAAAGGGAAAGCTGTAATAACATGGTTCATGGACACAGGATTTATAATTGCAGTCAGACGGGAAGAAAAAAGAAAACAATCCTATTCTTTATATAAGGATATAAAACCATGTTCATTCTACCAGAAGAAAATTTAGAAACACGAACAAGGTATTGAACTCTTGATTTAGGTTTTTACCACTAAAACAGTAGGCAAGAAAGTAAGCATAAAATCTTTCTAAAATACAAAAGTCTAATTAAAATACCTCAACAGTATTTATTTTGTTTTGATTGGAATACAGTATTGTTACTAAAAGAATGTAGTGATACCATACACTCCTCTAGTAATTCATTTTTTTTTCCAACCAGGGACTGAACTCAGGACCTTGCACGAGGCAGGTGCAGTGCCACTGAGCTAAATCCCCAGCCCATAGTAATTAATTGCTAAATACAACGTAAACGTGGACATTGCTACCACTAATGGACAAAGTGAAGTTCTTCCAAGAGATATTATACAGTCATTTCTTTGAAATGGTTTAAAGATGAGTAATAATATAAACTAAGGTAATTAGTTCTCGTTCAATATGAAAATTTTATTTCAGAAGGATTCTGCCTAAACCTCACAAATATTTATAAAATGATTTTCCTTAAGAAATGTCAGTCCATTAACAACATGAATTCAACTTTCACTAACCTTCAAGTATTTGAGGAGGGAACAGAGAAGGGAAAGGGGAAGTTGAAGTGAAAATAACAAACCAAAATGAAAATTTGTCCTTTTCTTCACAATCCATAAAATTCAAATTTGAAATCCAATAAAATAGATAATGGACTTAAGATAATCAGGGATATGCTTAATGAGCAATATTTAGATAAAATGAGACAGATATTTAGATTAAAAACAGAAGAAAACTAATGAGACTAAAACCTCAATTACTATTACTGGAAATGGTGCACTTGGGCTCTGGATAACTACTTACCCTGGGATTAAAGGCCAACATCTGAGGATCATTGGGATCTACCACAGAAGGATATGGCTCAAAAATGACAACTTTTCTAGGCGATTCCAATGCAGATCTACACATGGACACTAGTAGATCCACCACCTGGAAACACACACACACAGGAGAGAGTGACTATCCTTCATGTTTAAGCCAGTGTTTGTCACTGTCTCCCTCTCTCACAGTAGTGTAAGTTAAATCAGCAGCCTCAGGACTGCTACCATCTCTCTATTCTGTAACTCATGGCCAAAGTTGGCCAAACTTGACCAATAATTTCAAATAACAAACAAATGCTGCCCCTCATTACTCATATTCTAATATCTCTTTGTAAAAGCACATATGATGTGCTAGCACTGTTCTAGGGCCCCATGATAAAACAAGAAATAAGAGAAAGGTTCGTGCTTGGGTGGCAGGTACAGGCTAATGGGGAAGATGCGTAACAGAGGCAAATATATTCTTCAGTAGAATTCTGACTCTATTCAATGCTATAAAAACTAGGTATTGGAGAATTATGCAGGAGGGAGTATTGTCTTAAGAGTGGCTGGGGAGGTGGTGACATCTCAAGACCTCAATGAGGTCAAGGAGGGACACGGGGCATGATCTGGGGAAGGTGACAGAAGCCATAAGTGCAGGAAAGAGCTTGGCCTTCTCTGAGGATGGTGGATCACCTGACATCATGCTGCTTTTTCCCACTCCCCTCTGTCAAAGTGCATTAATGAATGCTGATTTTCTGCATACAATGGCTTTATTATCCTATGATCTCACTGCACAATTTATTATGAGGCAGAACTACATATCAGCTAATCTGGCTTCCCACCCGGATGCCAAAACAAACACTCTTATTTCTGGCAAGTGAATCAAGAAAACTCATCCTGTTTGGAAGGCATGCAGTTGCACAGACGTAACTATAGTGTGGACACAAAATGGAAAACTGTTTCTAGGGAGTTCTAACATGAGCATTTAAAAAACAGATAGTAAACCCTGGGCAATTTCTGACATTGTGACCTAATTGTGATTCTAATGTCAGTAAGGCTATGCTGTCTGTGTACTTGCAGAACACACCCACCCAAGCACAACATCCAGAATTTCCAACACCCTAATCAGCAACACTCAAGACATTCCAAGTACACAGACATATATATCCTCAAGACACTGCAATAGGTATTGCTTCTCACTTTTCCATTTGTGTGTGTATGCACACACAGACACACTCACATATACATATATGTGTATATAACTGTACAAATATGCAGTAACTTAGATTCTGAGTAATAAATATAATGAAAAGATAACAAACCTGCCTTTCAGTTCTCCACTCCCACACTCATATTCCTTCTACCCCAAAGAGATGAACCTTAACTCAGATCAAACTGTTTACAGTGTTATTTATTCTCTTAATGACATTAAAATGCAAAGAAGAATTCCCAAGGAAGTAAATCAGTAAGATAAAACAGCCTTGTCCAAACCCTTTGGAGGGGGGTAGGCAACAGAGGGATGCAAAACCTTTAAAAGGTATGTCTTGGTATGCAAATGAAGGCTTATTTCCTACATTTGGAGGACTAATATTTTTCACAGTGAATTTAAGTAAATTATTCTGCTTACAGATATACAATGTAATCTGACAAAAAGCAGACTTACAATCTTAGAGCAATGGTCGATACATATTGTTAATACTGACTCCTTATTTTTAAATCTTACATGATACACAAACAAATGCAATGGAGCTCTTCTGGCTGAAGTAGTATTGGGGACCTGAAATGGTAGCTGTGTAGACTACAGCACACTCGTGTCCAAGCCCACTGTCCTGCAGCAGTCCTGAGGATAATCACTGTGCTGCAGACTCAACTGATGCAGAGTCTACTGGGGGAGAGATGCTGTTTAGAGAATGCAGTTTCCAGGTCATATTTACAAGTAGGACTTGTTTTGGGGCATCTCTTTTAAAAAACAAAGGAATGAAATAAATGTTCTCTTTGAAGAATAAATTCACTGATACTCGGACACTGATCTTTACAGATACATCACTAAATTGATCTGACCAAGCATTTTAGCTTCAGAACTATCACCAGATAATTTCAAATTCATTTCTATGTTAGAACCATTATTTTTAGAGATGTAATGATAAGAGGGAGAGAAACACCCATTATTTTATTTTACTACCCTAATGTTAGCGTGTCTTAATTTTCCAATTAATAATTTACTATTTCTAGACCTTAACTGGTTTACTTAAGGAAGAATTTATGTCTAGCAAAATGTGTACTACTTGAAAAATTTAAATGTATTTGGACATACATATATATATATATATATATATATATATATATCTAGTACACATACATATTTTCACACACACTCCTGGACAAGGTTTTAATTATTTTATATAGCTATAAATATAGCCTACATCAAAGTTTCTAATTTTGAGCAACACTGTTTCTGAAGGATAAGAAAAACTTTCACATTAAAATAAGAGAAGAAAAGAAAAAGGTTCACCATGGTAAACTGTGGAAAAACTTTTAAGAGAAGTCTAATATTTTCCTTTAGGGACACTTCAATATGCAAATTTGTACTTGCTGGGTATCAGGGGAATACATCAAGCCGTATTATTGAAGTTTATTACTATTACTGGTTTTTTGATACAGGGTCTTTGCTATGCAGTTCAGGCTGGCCTTGAACTATCTATGTAGCCCAGGTTGGCCTCAAATTTGAGGAAGTCATTCTTCTTCTGCTTCCCAAGGGCCGTGGTTATGGGTGTGCACCACCACAGCTGGCTCCCAAGTTTAATTATGAGGTAATTTTTCCATAACACTGAGATCACTCTATCCTACTATTGGTAATATTTTTCATTTACAAGTCATTATATCAAAAATATTGTTCTCAGGATTTCATGAAGTGGGTGCGTCACAGTTAATCAGTGAAATAACTAGGATTAGGAACATGTAAATTCACGAGGCCTAGACTGCCTACACTAGTTGTTATGCCATACCTAACAGAAGGCCTGTTACGCAGCAGGCATTCCATATTTGTTGAAAGGATATATCAGCTGCATAATCATTTTTCCTATCCATCTTTGTGAATTTTATACATTACGGATTGGCAATTTCTTTTACATTTATCTTCTTGTTGATATTTAGTTAAGTCGAGTATTTTCTCAACATTCTTACTAGGTGTCTGTTTTGTTGAATTTCTATTATTTCCTCCATCAGCTATGGTGATCATATTTTTCTTCTTGGTCTCTGAGCTTTTATATAGTTGTGATTTTATATAATTGTGATAAAAAAAGTTGTTTCATATTTCACTCCTAACATTTACTGATTTTCCAAGTGGAAAGCATAAGCTATATGAGCTATGGTATTTCCCTGTAACTATACTAATGCAGTAACCTGATGAACTGCTTCGGGTTGGGCATGCTTAGTTTTACTCTCTTCTATAATATAGGCTACCGTCCCTTCAGCTACATGGAATTTGTTTTTTAACACAGTATAAGTTAGAAATCTAAACTGGTATTTCTCCCATATTGCAGATCCTTTGTTTCTATCTCACTTGTAAAATAATGCTTATAGCACTGTATATTATACTTTTGTATATGGTTTATCTGAAATCCTTAATTAACATGTATTAATTTTTAAAGGTCTCTTTAATTTTTATATAGGTAATTTAGTAACTCATTCAAGTTGCCTACATGACCAAAAAAAGGTAAAAAAATTTTTTGGTGGAATTGTATAAAATAATAAATTTTTGTATCTTTTAAATTTATTTTACCCTTTCCAGAAATACGGCATGCCTCTCCATGTCTAAGTTGATTTCCTTATTTGTTTTTATATCTTTCCTCCTATCTTATAAATACTGCTACTATAAAACTGAATGTTCTCCATTGTTATGTTCTGCCCATTATCTTTTCAGCTAAATTTTAAAAGTAAATTGACTTCCATTTTATGGTAGTATAGCTTTACAAATACATTTTACACAAAACATGTACAAATGTTTCAATATCTTAACTTTTCCATATAAGAAAGAATTACAATTATCTTTAAAATTGAAGACACTTCATTTAACTTCTCCCCATTGGCGACTGAAAAGTGACAAAACACACATTAGATGAAGAGAGAACATTTAGTTTCTATCTAAAAATATCAAATGCCAGTTTGTCTTTAACAAGAAACTATCAAAAACTTTCCCCAAAGAATAGTAGAGTGCAGATAATTATTGGACTGAAACAGAATTTTCAAACCAAAATAAGAAATGATCAGTATCGAGTGTTAGTACCTGAGCTCCAGTCGCTATTTCATCAGCAGCTTCATTCATTACTCCCAGGGTTTGAAAAGCAAACACACATAGCTCTCGTTCACACACAGTAGGCTACAAAAGAAATGGAAATTGGATTACAGCATTTTTTTTTCCAGTCTCAGTTCCTAGATTAGGTGCATAACTCCCCACATAATGAACCAAAAATGCAATGTTTTAGAAGGGGGAGTAAAATATATCATTTTATTTAATAAAAAGTTAATTCATAAATCCAGGTAACAATAAGGGAAGAGCCATTTACTAATATAGTCATAAATATGATAAGGATCCATTACACTCAGAACAATCTAGCAGTACATGAAGATATCCTTCAATAGGAAAATTTATCTCTCTTGTTTATTATACTGTTGTACATGAAAGCACATTTAAAACTACAAGCAGAGAAGCTGGTGATATAATAAAAATGTGTAACACAAAAGCTATATAAAACAAACATAATTGGAGACTTCTACTTTTTCCTAAGAAATTTGTTTTGGAAGAAATAAGCATGACTCTGCTTAGTTGCTACTCAGCTCTTGAAAGATTGGTTTTGCCGCAAAGATTTCTGACACCAATAACCTCCTGAAGTCGACAGCACTGAAATATACACTCTGCAATTACTTTGGAAGAGCTCTCATCTTTCAAATCTAATACAGTGCCATCCCTTTGATTTATCTTATCTCCCCAGTTACATTGCATTAGGTAGCTGATGAAGCCTAACGCGATGCAATCCATGGTGCCTCCGCATAGCAGACGAAAGGCATTTGTTAGTGTCAGTGCTCCAAGGATCACTGCTTTTGGAGGGCGGCTTGGTCTGTTGCTCAGCCAATGGGGAAGTATGGCTCCATCCTGAGCATCTTATATGCTCAAAACAGGCCCGTATGTATGGGCTTATGGGTAAAGAGTCTGACTAATCATAAAAATTTCTATATGACTCTCCCCTAAATAGAATTTTAGAAGAAGGAGGAATTGATACATTTCCTTTATCAGCCTTAGAAGTGTAGTCTGATTCCTTTTCAGAAAGGTTAGAACTGTGAGGGGAGGGGAAATTAATTACAGAAAATTCTCCATCTAGACACAAGCTATACACACACACACACACACACACACACACTTTGGATACAAAGACCTCAGACTGTTTGATTTCTACTATTTTACTTCTTACTTGGATCTTCTGTTGTGTTTGTATGTGTGGACGACTGTGTAACTTCACTTTCGCCCACAGATATTAGATTATGTCTTTTGTTCACTTTCTGGGGCATAGAAGTTTGTACAACTTAAAGTAGCAGTAACAACCACTTTCTGCAAATTTACAGTGGTGTCAAACATAGTTGTGTGTGAACTTGCACAAACAAGAGCCCAGGGAGAAGAACCTTGAAATTCATAAAGGTTCTAGGAAAGTGTTTGTGTACCAGCTAGACAATGTTCACTGATGTGGAAGTTACTTTATTTTGAATAATATGCTTATCAAATTACCCACTACTTTTTCGGGACTAAAATTTATCCATTAATTGCAAAGCTAAATAACAGGAGAAGGCTTATTGAGTGGAATGGGTAATGATTAGTTTTATTTGAATCCCAGACAATCAACTATACTTACTTTGTCGTTATCTAAGTATACATGTGTGTGTATACCATAAACGAATGTTTATATATACATATAAACACACACATACTCTCCAGAAAATATAACAATAAAAACTACCTTTTTGGTACCAAATTGTTTTAAACAAAAATAAAATAATACACTAAATTTGAAGGTTAATTCAAACGTTTTTAAAATTCAAAGACAGGGAAAATTATGATGGGGATGTAGCTCAGTGGTGCCACCACCTGCCTAGCAAGCACAAGGTCCTCAGTTCGATCCCCGGTACCAAAAAAAAAAAAAAAGAAGAAAGAAAGAAAATTATGCTAAATACAGTTATTCTTATATATCTCTATGAGAACACCAATCCAATCACCACCAATCCTAGGTATTCATGGGCCATTCTGACTTTATCTCAAGTGATTTTCAGTAAGTTCACCCATTAATAAAACTCCTTTTTGCATGCGATGCTAGGGAGCAAACCAAAGGCTTCATGCATAAATCTGCATCCTTATGATGAGATTATGACATGATTACTTTATCAACGTTTTTCTTTTGTTTGAAATATCCCTTTTTCCCATATTCAAATGTGGAAGGCTGATTCCTTGGAATATTTTGGCACTACAACAGTTCAGAGAAGGAGATCAAGCAGAAATCTGGCAAGCTAGAAAACCAGCTTTTGGAAACACAAAACCTTTTGCTGCTATCTTGAAAAATTAGAAGTGCACACTGCATTCTTATAATTTTACTTCCCTTCTTTTTAATGCACAACTACAGAAACAATACTTGCCATTAAGTTATTTACCTAACACCACACTAAATAAATATTAATGAACTTTTAAAATAATAATTCTACATATTTTGTTCAGTTTTAGAAAGTTCAAGGAATACTCAAGATGTACAATGTAAACTAATTCAAATTTGATTAAAAAATTTGTACATTCATGTTTGTTTTGGAATAGTAATCTTTTTTATCCATATTTTCTACTTCAAAGACTTTCTTTTATCAGTGGCAATAATATGTTAAAAGGCTTAGTTACCTTCCCATTGGGGAATGCTATATACATGAACATATTGTGAGTGCTTTTGATTCCCATCTTCTAAAAGTCTTTTTGTTTCCTATCATCTCTCCTTTATTTTTTAAAAATTATTTATATTTTAGTTTTCTCATATAAGAAAAACTGTTACTTAGAAGTTTTACTTACAAGTAAAACAACTATTTACTTACAACTATTTTACTTACAAGTTCAAAATGTCAACCAAGATGATGCCCTCAAAGAAAATTCTGCAGTACATTTGGTGATCAGTATCTGCCCACAGGCCCATCCTATCCAAGAATGAGATATTGAATCTCTCTTCCTTAATGAAATATAAGTAGTTCTACTGTGGATTAGCTTTCCCCTACTTGAACAAACCCCAACCTTGAAAACTTCTGCTAAGACTAGGCTATTTCCCTAGAAAACACTAGCAATCAATTCAAATAGAGCACAGCCATATAATAGCCACTGCTTGTTGAGTGTAACGATGAATTTTTTACACATACTCCCTACAAAGTGTATGAGTCTAATATAACAAAGTTTGAATTATTTTAATTCACTTTTCAGTTTATAATAAATCAATTTGTTTCAATTTATAAAATCTTATTTTTTCTAACATCTTACTATACTGCCTTGAAACAATTAATTACTGTAATTTGCATTGTAAAATCATGGGAACTCCCTCCACTACCAACACAGATATAACATATTTACTATAAAATATTCATCTTACACCACTTAAAAGCATAAGAACTTTTACATGTGTCCCTAGAATATGATTAGTTTTCAGCTAAGATGAATACATTTTTAATTTTATTTGAATCAAGGCAATTTTAATGTGAGCAATAAAAACATGTTTCAAAAAACATTTTTAAGCCCTAAGGAATATTTTAGAACCTCACTGTATTTTTGAAATGTTTTCAATGAATTTAAATTATTACTCCTTATGGACAATAGAAATGCTACAACTTAGGTATGCAGAGATAAGCAAGGCGTCAGGAGTGCTTTTCAAACACTTTTGCTGGGGTATTTTTGTTGGAACGAAACATTTTATGTCAGCCCCAAATATAAAGTACGTAAAAGTGAAGCCAGATCCAGTTTGACAACATGTGTGCAGCTGTTTTCCTATCTATGAAACAAGAATTTTGAAATATCTAGCTGCCCAGATTGATAAAAGAACCAAGTGAGATAAGGTTTATAAAATCTCCTTGAAGCATGGAGAGCTATTTTAGTATTAACATTATAAGGTAACCTAAATAAGTCATCTCTGTAGTAGCTTTAATTCAATTCATATACAAAGATAAGCATTTAATAAAAAGTACTTTTCTTTGAAGTAAATTATACTGAATTTTCTTTTGGTAAATATATTTATCAAAACTCTTAATTTACAGCTACAATGTTCCCAACTAAAAAAGAAAAATATTAATATAATTTCCCAATTTAAAAGCAGGTGTTGGGCCGGGGATTTAGCTCAGTGGTTTTGTCGCCTGCTGCACAAGCACAATGACCCAAGTTCGATCCCCGGTACCAAAAAATAAAATAAAATTAAAAAGCAGGTGTTGAAAAAAATATAGGATTATATTAACATTTTAGGAATCACAAAACCTATAATTAATTTTTTTATTTTCAGTTTTGTAGTCAATGCTTTGAGTTTTGTGGTTGAGATGTGCATTCAGGGTTGGAAAGGTTACTGATGCATCAGAGGGACCAAGGCAAATACTGCAAGGCAGGTCAGGCCTGATTAGAAATCAACACAAGATTGCCCTAATTTGTCGCATACAACAAAAATGTTATTTGAACATTAAAGCCACCTTCTACTCAGCTGGATATTTTTTAAAAATAGTCTTTTTGAACCAAAATTGTTTTAGCTAATCTACACTTTTTTTTTTTTAGCTAACCTAATGTTTCAGAACCTGAAATCTAAATAACTTAGAGGGGGAGAGCAGCATTATCAGAATATGCTTTTTCATCCATTCTTCAAATACTAAAGTCAGAATTAAATATAAACAATCTGTTTTGCTCTTAGAAGGAATGGGAATGCCTTAAACTATAACCAAATAAGTGTTCTTAATTTCACTCAGAAAATAAGAGCCTCAGGTGCAAATATCAGTCACAGCAAAGTGCATGCATAAACACAAACACAGATTGGCAAGTTTCTCAGCTGACTTGGCTCTGATGGACTGGCACCCCTCTCCGCTAAGTGACAGACACGTCCAAACTGTCTGGGAACCACTGGCTTAGAATCTCGTGCTGGGTCAAACCATGCAAAACAGGCAATCCAGCACATTTTCACATGGCACATTTCACAGGAAAGGGGAAGGAGAGCATACTTCTCTATCATGTTAACATTCAGAAGAGAAAGTCTGTTAACCAGAGAGCAAAGGACTGCCAAGAATCTGTGACTGGGGGCCAACTTGGTAGGGACATTAATCCACAAAATGGTATGGCTTTCT